CGCGAGCAGTGGAGTGGACAACTCACTGCGAACAGAAATTAATTTTCCTTTCTTGTAAAAAAAGACTCTACCCCCCCGCCGTCATCCGCCCCCCTTCCGGGTATGTAAATCATATACGATTATGACAGCATGTCCATCCTAAATATCAATTTACACTATGCCCGGGGGGGCGGTATCGCCCCCCCCTGAGGTTCCCTTGTAAAAAACGATACGCGGGGACATATTTTGTTCTAACATAGCACTGTTTACAAATCCCTGGCAAAAAAACGGGACGAAGTGCAAACGCGCGCCTCGTCGCGCGCGCATGCCGAAATCCTTCAAAAACCTTCGGTGTCGGAAGGATTTCGCAATCCAGTTTCCAAAAGACATACAAAAACACATAGTTTCGCAACGCTGATTTGCTAAAAAAACTTACGCGCGAACTCTTGCGAAATAAACCATAAATTATATCAACATGTTCACAAAAAAAACTATCAAACGGGCTTCGCGCGCGCGCATGTCGGAATCTGTCGAACGCCCTTTGCGCGTGTGCCGTCGCGAGAATCCTCTGCAAAAAAAGGGACGAAGTGCAGACGCGCGCGTCGTCGCGCGCGTATGCCGAAATCCTTCAAAGCCCATCGGTTTCGGAAGGATTTCAAAATCGTGTGTCCGAAAAAACCTACAACAACACAAGGTTTCGCAACACGGATTTTCAACAAAAGCGTGCGCGCGCGCTCTTGCGTCGTCGTCGTCGTCGTCGTCGCCGTCCTCCCTCCTCCCGCGTCGTCGTCGTCGTCGTCGCCCACGTCGTCCTCTGTCTTTCCTCGTGTTCGTCGTCGTCGTCCTCTTTGGCGTCGTGGTCGTTTCCGTCGTCGTTGTCGCCGTGGTCGTCCTTCCTCCTCCTCCCTCGTCGTCGTCGTCGTCCGTCGTCGGCGTCTCGTCGTCGTCTCTCCTATTTCGTCGTCCGTCGTCGTCGTCGTTGTCGTCGTCGTCGTCGTCGTCGTCTTCCCTCCGCCCTCGTCGTTGTCGTCGTCGGCGTCGCCGTCTTTCCCCCTTCTTCGTCGTTCGCGTCGTCGCCGTCCTCCCTCCTCCCTCGTCGTTCTAGTCGTTGTCGTCGTTGTCGCCGTCGTCGTCCTCCCTCCTCCCTCGTCGTCGTCGTCGTTGGCGGCGTCGGCGTCGTCGTCGTCTTCGTCGTCGTCGGCGTCGGCGTCGGCGTCGTGTTCGTCGTCGTCGACATCGTCGTCGTCGTCGTCGCCGCCGTCGTCGTCGTCGTCGTCGTCGTCGGCGTCGTTGGCGTCGTCGTCGTCGGTGTCGTCGTCGTCGTCGGCGTCGTCATCGTCGTCGTCGTTGTCATCGTCGTCGTCGTCGTCGTCGGCGGCGTCGGCGTCGGTGTCGTCAGTGTCGTCGTCGTCGTCTTCGTTGCCGGCGTCGTCGAAGTCGTTGGAGACGCGGGTGTCGTCGTAGTCGTTGTCGGCGGCGTCTTCGTCGTCGTCGTTGTCGCTGTCGTCGTCGGCGTCGCTGTCGCTGCCAAGTGCCATTTGGTACCCACCGTCACGGTCTTAAGAGATTTTGCAAACCAAGTTGCGGGTGGGTGGGTGGGATGTTTGCGCGAGCAGTGGAGGTGGTCAAGCGCGGCGCAGGGTAGTCAATTGCACCGCATAGATCGCATCACATAGCTCTCACCATATGTATTGCATGGCAACTGCTACATCACAAAACTTTCACTTCTGATAATCCACCCCCCCACCGATTTTACGTTTCACTTTCTCCGTGTTGCAAATTGCATACGATTCTCCCTCATCGTCCATCCGAAATATGATTTCATACAATCCCAGGCAAACCCGTAACTGCCCCCCCCCTCATCCCCTGCAACAAAACTATGCACGCACATTCGTGCATCAAGAATCACAAGATTTCCGAAACCCCTTGCAACAAAAATAAAACGAAGTGCACATGCGCGAGTCGTCGCGCGGGAATGCCGGACAAAATTTCAAACACGTAAGTTTCGTAAATATTTCAATCGAATGTCCCGCAACTACGTAAAAGCACAAGACCTCGCAACAAGAATGTTCAAAACATGTGCGCCTGGGCCCTTGCGAACTCTTGAGAACACCATCGTTTTCAACATGTTCATAGACTGCTACCAAACAGGCCTCTCGCGCGCGCGTGCCGGAAACGGTCGAAAACCTTTTTGCGCGCGTGTTGCCGCAATAACCAATTGCACAAAATGGGACGGAGTGCACGCGCGCGCGTCGTCGCGCGCGCATGCCTAAATCGCTCAAAAACATGAAGTTTCGCAAGTGTGAACACCATATGTTGCAGTACAAATGGTTTGATATGTTTGCAACACCAGTTCCAAAAATGCCTGCGCTCGCGCTCCTGCAAGTTATAACTCATACTTTTCATTTTTAATGTTTATTTTAACGCCATTGGTTTTGCAACTGCTCCATTAAAGTTTGCCAAGAAGGCCCCTCGCGCCGCACGTCCGAATCATTCGAACGCCCTTGCGCGCGCGCAGGGGGGGGGGCACGATCCGTCAAAAAAAAAACACCATGCGGGCCACTCTTGCGCGTCGGCCGCGCTCGCATGTCGAACTCCCTCCAAAACCACAACTGCCGACGCGAAGGCGCCGTCATTGTCGTCGGCGTGGTCAACATTGGCGCCGTCACTGGCCATGCCGTCGTCGTTCTCACCATCGTCACCACCATCGCTACCGTCATCATCGCGTCCACCGTTGTCGAAGTTGCCATGATACCGCACCCGCCCAAATCGCCGATTCGCACTGAAGTGCCCACTGGGAGGTGCCCAGCGGTCAGCGCCACCGCGGCCGCGGCGGCAGCGCCAAACTATCTGGCCGCTGCGCGCGCGCGAGCATGCGCGGGCTAGCGCGGCCGCAGAAATGCACCAGCCAACTACAAACACTCATCGCAATCGCCGCCGCATGGGTTTTGCAAACCAAGCTGCGCGTGGGTGGGTGGGATGATTGCGCGCGCAGTCGAGTGGACTGTTAGAAATCAATTGCACCACAAAGATTGCACCACTGGAAACACACTGTCTAGGGTCCACGCTGGCTAACATGAAACTACTCTCCCCTGACTCTGTCCAGAAGATGTCCCGCCCTTTCATCGTCTTCTTGTAGTCACCGAAAACTGTTTCTCTTATGCGTCTTTCCCATCCAAATGTCATTCCCGCGCTTTCGGTCCTTCAAAATCGTGTTCCCGCTGCTGCGCTGGTCTCATTTCCGCGTTTATGGGCCCACCGAATGGTGCGTCCGCTGCAGCGCTGGCCTCATTTCCGCGGTTTCGATCCTTTCAAATATGGCTTCCGCTGCGGACTCTTCCAAATTGACTGTTTTCTGGCTGCACCGTTCATGCAACCATGGCATGCAACTTCCTAATCAGAGATTGCCTCTGTAGGGGTCCTAGCGGATTCATATGGTAGGTTAGCTGTGGCGCCGACTTCGGCGGCACGCCCGGGTGCCCGGGTGCCCAGGTGCCCAGGTGCCCAGGTGCCCCGGTGCCCGGGTGCGCAGGTGCCCGAGTGCCTGGGTGCCCCGGTGCCTGGGTGCCCGGGTGTCCGGGTGCCTGGATAGCCCTATAGCCCTAATAGCCCTACAGTCCTATAGCCCTATAGTCCTATAGCCCGATAGCCTTATAGCCTTTTAGCCTTATAGCCCTATAGCCCTATAGCCCTATATCCCTATAGCCCGATAGCCCTATAGCCTGATAGCCCTATAGCCCAAGAGCCTTATAGCCCTATAGCACTATAGCCCTATAGCCACATAGCGCCCATAGCCCTACAAAGATCACGATTGGGGTTTTCTCAGGTATCATTCAATGCTACGTGATGCACCGTCATTATGCGATTCAATGCTTTACTCAGCAATGCTGCAACGTTTTGACATGCGATGCTGGGCTACGCAGTGCCATACCATGCTACATTGTCCCGTGCCATGCCCTGGCATGACATGCAATGCTACGTTATATGCCGCTATGCGATGCCCTGCCTTGCACTGCAATGCCATGACATGCAATGATTGAGTACGCAATGCCACACCATGCTATAACTTGCTACGCTCTGCAGTGCTCTCCTACGTCACGCTACATCATACTATGCATCGCGTGCTCTTTGGAGATCACTGCCCCTGCGACATCCGACTGTGCGAATAGAGAGGGGCTCTACGCAAGGGTGAAGGATAGGAGGGAGGCGTAGGACATCAGATCTGACGCGAGCGCACCTAGTTTTCCTCCCCTCTCTGTCCTTCTCTCTCTCTCTCTTGTTCTCTCTCTCTCTCTCTCTGTCCCCCTCTCCATCGTCCTCCCCATCCCGCCAATCTCTCTTTCTCTCGGCCAGCCAATAGCAAACAGCAGAGCGACGATGCGGTGCACACAAGCTAACATAGCAACCGCTGACAAGATGGATGCCGAATGTCAGCAGGGCGCAAGCGGGGCAAGGCATGTCAAGCAACAGAGACACATTGAAGGGATGTCGCTCCAGAGACGATGTGCACGTGAGCTCCAAACAAAATGAAGGCGACATCCATGGGCGCAAACTCTGAATGGAAGGACAGCAACCAAAGAATAACCAACGTATCACCAAAGCGACCGGACATAAGCACTGAGATAATCCGAGCAGGGTAAGAGCAGCTGGGGCAACGGAACAGGACCAAAAGGTAGAGGGAAGTGGCTGCGGTGGGGCGAGTCCGACGAACAGGCTGCAGAGCAAAGACGGGCGGTGCAGCGGGGAGGCGAATCACCAACTGGAAGGGGGGGCAGGAGGAGGCGAGCGCTTTCTTTCTTCCTGTGATGCCTACTTTGGTGCCGCTGGCGCCGCGACGTCGCTCACGCGAGGCTGCCTGCAGTGTGGCTAACGCGAAGCTGCCTGCAAGGCCGAACATTCTAAGAGGCAAGCCATGCACGTCGTGGGATCGGTGTCGTAAATTAAAGCTTCACTCCCGTCCATAACTGGATCGGGTTTAGTGCTCGAATGAGGATTTGCCGCCTACTGTGCTCCCAGGGGCTCTAGCCAAACATATTACCCCCTTCAAGTTCGATGCCCTTCTCCTGGGCGAATCTGTGGATGCGCTCTCTCAGTTCTGTCATCGGTATGAGGTCCTCCTTCTTCACTGGCGTGTTGGCGTAGGGGTCGAGATCTGTACTCATGATCTGACGTTCGGCAACCCAGCGGTCGACTACCTTCTTGCTCTGGGGGAACTGCACAGGGTCACTCATGATGTCAGCCATCATCTCGCACAAGAACTCTTCGGGAATGTCAGCTTGGTCGAACGCTGACCTTTGCTGCGCAGTGTGTTCGGCCAAGCCCTTCACAAACACGTCGAAATCCTCACCTTCCTTCACGTTCAACAAACCGTGCTTCTTCACGAACCTGACGGCTTTGCTGAAAGTCTCCGGCTTATAATATCGCTCGTCCTTCCCTACGACACGCGTAACCTCCACCTTATTTGCGCGCACCAGGAAGAGATAAATCTCAACAATTTGCTTGATAAGCTCCTTGGGGTTAAAGCCCAGCTCATCATATTCCTGCGGGGAGGACTTGATGTTTTTCATCTCGGGGCCAACCAAGAAATGCAGCTGAGCGTCAAGGGACGTGTGTAGGAGCTGCTCGAGGATGGTGTGCCCCTCCACAATGCGGTGCCCGACGTGTTTGCAGAGCAACCACAACATCTTCCAAGTCCTGGAAGCAAGCCCGAAGTACTTCTTTGCGTGCTCCTTGTAGTTCATGCGGCTGCGGCGGTATATATCTTCGTTGGCCTCTCCTGTGGTGTCGTCAGCGACAACCTCTTCGTCGTGGTTAACCGCAGCAGGACCCGAGGGGGCTGAAGACGAGGCCCCACCCGAGGAATCCTTATGCTTGTTCTCCTGGTATTCCTTGACTGTTCGGATGCCCTCCTCTGTCTGAGAGTTGAGATCGTTGATGAGCTGCGTCAGCATCTTGGCCAGAGTGTCCGGGTTCGTCTTGCAGAATTCATCGAGAATCTGGCGGTGACCCTCATCCTGGAGCACCGTCTCAAAGATCTCGATCACTGGCAACCGCAAGTGGTATTTGTACCTGTCGGACAGATCGTAGTAGCTCATGATAGCCTTCTCCACGCCGATGAACACGTTCAAGAGGCACGGGACGAGCTGCTTCGAGAAGGGCGGCCGGTACCACAGCTGCTGCCAGGTCGGGAACGCGAAGCAGAGCTTGTTCATGAGTTTAACCGCCTTCCCCCGAAGCGACGGGTCCTTCACGTGGCTGTCCGAGGCCATCACGAGGCAAAGCAGCGTGAGCATGGGCTCGGGCTCGACGAGGGCGAAAAGGCCCGTGGGTATGCTCCCCTTCCTGTGGAACAACGATAGGGGAGGACCAGCCCGTGGGAAGGGGTGGGGGGTGGGGAGGGGGGGGGAACATGGAGCCGGAATCGGCAACACATCGCCGGTAGGTCGGCGATGGGCCCCCGATGGCAAAACCGCACGGCCCTGGGCGGGGCGGACTGTCAGGCCCCATTCCCCGATGAATGGGCAGCAGGGGGTCGATGCGACACCCCTGAGCCCATCCTCACCTAACATCCATCCTCCCTCCTCCCTCCGCCCTCCTCCTCCTCCTCCTCCTCCTCCTCCTCCTCTGCGCCCGCCGCTCGGGCTGGCCGCGCTGGTTCTCAATTCGGCTGCCGACGGCGGTGCTCTCGTCGGCGGCACGCACAGGGGGGTAGAAGGGGGGGATGGCTTCTTGGAAGGAGGTTGCTTCTCAGAGGGTATAGGCCTTACATATACAGACAAGGCCCGCGCCTTCTAAGGAGCAAGGGTGTTTCTGAGAAGACTTCTCCCCTCCCTCTACCCCCTCTGCGCGTGGCCGACCCCTCTTCCTCCTCCTCCTCCTCCTCCTCCTCCTCCTGCTGCTCCTCCTCCTCCTCCTCCCCCTCCCCCTCCTCCTCCTCCTCCTCCTCCTCCTCCTCCTCCTCATATTAAGTATTATCAGTATTCCCCCATCAGAGCTTGCCTCTGTAGGAGTCCTAGTGGATTCATATGGTTAGGTGAGGTGTGTCACCGATTTCCGCGGCCCGCCTGGGTGCCCGGGTGCCCGAGGTGTGGCACCGATTTCCGCGGCCCGCCCGGGTGCCCAGGTACCCATGTGCCTGGGTGCCCGAGGTGTGTCACCGATTTCCCTATAGCCATGTAGCCCTACAGCCCTATAGCCCTGTAGCCCTATAGCCCAATAGCCCTATAGCCGTATAGCTTTATAGCCCTATGGCCCCATATCCCAATAGTCCTATATCCCAATAGCCCTTTAGTCCCATAGCCTTATAACCTTATAGCCCTATCGCCCTAGAGCCCAATAGCCCTGTAGCCCTATAGCCTATAGCCTTATAGCCCTATAGCCCTGTAGCCCAATAGCTCTATGGCCCAATAGCCCTACAGCCCAACATCCCTATAGCCCTATAGCCCAATAGCCCAATAGCCCAATTGCCCTATAGCCATATAGCCCTATATCCCTATAGCCCAATAGCCCTATAGCCCTACAACCCTATAGCTCTATATGCCTACCTATACGACCACCCTTCGGATGATAAGGAGGTTCGGGGGGGAGGAACCAACGTCTCACTCGATCGGTCTCACTATCGAACTCACTATCGATCTCAATATCGGTCTCGCTCGATCGATCTCCCTTGATGATCGATCTCACAATCGATCTCATAATCGATCTCACTCGATCTCACTCGATCTATCTCACACTCGATCTCACTCGATCATCATCATCATCATCATCATCATCATCATCATCATCATCATCATCATCATCATCATCATCATCGTCATCGTCCTCATCATCATCAGCATCATCATCAGCATCACAACAATCATCATATTCATCATCATCATCATCAGCAGCAGCATCAACATCAACATCAACATCATCAGCAACATCATCATCAACATCACCATCATCATCATCATCATCATCATCATCATCATCATCATCATCATCATCATCATCTCATCATCAACATCAACATCAACATCAACATCAACATCAACATCAACATCATCATCATCATCATCATCATCATCATCATCATCATCATCATCATCATCATCATCATCATCATCATCATCATCATCATCATCATCATCATCATCATCATCATCATCATCATCATCATCATCATCATCGCGGGACACCGCCGGAACAGCGGCGAGACACCGCGGGACACCGCGGGACACCAGCGGGACACCCCGGGCCACCGGCCGCCCGGAAGGTCCGGCCGCGCCTCAGCCACACGGGACACCAGCGGGACACCGGCGGGACACCGCGGGCCACCGGCCGCCCGGAAGGGAGACATTTGGTCCGGCCGCGCCTCAGCCACAGGAGACTTTCTTCTCGCCCGCCCACGCAGCTTCGCCTCGCCCGCACGCACGGCACGCACGAACACGAAACCGAAATCGATTTCCCGGTAGGGGGGCTCTCCGTTGCACTTCGATCTCACCCCCTCACCTCCGATAGTCCTATATCCCGATTGCCCCATAACCCTATATCCCTATAGCCCTATAGCCCTATGGTCCTGTAGCCCTATCGCCCCATAGCCCTATACACTCATAGCCCTATGGCCCGATAGCCCTATAGCCCCATAGCCCCAGAGCCCCATAGCGCCATAGCCCTATAGCCCTACAGCCCTATAGCTCTTTGGCCCTGTAGCCATATAGCCCTATAGAACTATAGCCATATGGCCCTATAGCCATGTAGTTCAGTAGCCCTATAGCCCCAGAGCCCCATCGCCCTATTCCCCAATAGCCCCATAGACCTATAACCCTAACAAGAATATGATTGACGTTTTTTTTATTCGGTATGATTATTCCTGTAATTAGTATTAGCAATTACACTATGAATGGTGCATTAGCGTTCGTATCGCTAGTACGAATAACCGCATTATTAGTTGCAGTCTGATTTTTCTTCGTCGTCTGAGTACTACGAGCGCGTGAAGTATAACTAGTAGTACTAGTAGTAATAGTGTTACGAGTACTGCGTTGACACTAGTACTCTTTGTAGTGGTAGTAATTCTACTAGAATGAATAGTGGTAGTAGTAGCAATGATCTTTGCAAGAATATGAGCATCATGCCTATGTTCATTCCTGATATTGTGGTGGTGTTTGTTATTACGAATACGATTCGCATGGTTAGTATTAGTATACGTCTTATTCGTACCAACAAGATTCGTAGCATTGTTATTTGTCCTCCTCCTCATCACCCTCCTGCTCGCAGGGGGTGGTCCCTCAGCGCGGCCCCTATGCGTGCCACGGTCGGAAAGCGCGGCAGGCGTAACACGTCCTCGACACCAGAGAGGGTGCGCACAGGGTGGTCGCCCAACGCGGCCTGCAAGCGTGTCAGGGTAGACAAAAACATGGCAGGCGTAGCATTTTCTCGGCATCAGAGGGAGTGCGCATGGGGTGGTCCCACAGTTCGGAAACTGTGCGTGCAAATGCACGAAAGAGTGGGAGGCCTCCTCCTTTCTCGACACCAGAAGGGTGCGCAGGGAGAAGCGGTTTTCCCCAGTAACATAGCTGCTTCCCTGGTAAAAAGGACGGTTCCCCGGTGGAAGTTGGAAAGAATTCCCCCGTGAAGCTTCCCCAGCGTGAGGAGCTGAGTACACCTGCTCCCAAGAAGCGTCTGCGAGGCCTTAGAGAAGTCTCTCGGGGGCTCCTAGAAGCCCTTGCGATGCTCCTAAGAAGCCCCTGCGAGGCTCCACAAAAGCCTTTGCGAAACTCCTGAGAGGCCCCTGCGAAGCTCCTAGGAAGCCTCTGCGAGGCGCCTAAGAGGCCCCTGCGAGGCTCCTAAGGGGCCGGTGCAAGGCCCCCACGAGGCCTCTGCGAGGCTCCTACGAAGCCTTTGCGAGGCTCCTAAGAGGCCTCTGCGAGGCTCCTCACAAGGCCTCAGCGAGGCTCCTCAAAAGGCCTCTGCGAGGCTCCTAAGAGGCCGCTGCGAGGCTCCTACGAAGCGTCCGCGAAGCTCCTAAGAGGCCTCTGCGAGGCACTAAAAAGGCCTCTAGGCCTCTGCGAAACTCCAGCGAGGCTCCAAAAAAGCCTCTGCAAGAAGAGGCCTCTGCGAGGCTCCTCGGATTCTTTGGGATTCCGTTTTCGGAACATAGCAATTTCTCGGCTTCCGGTGTTTTGTTTTACTCTGTCGCAGCTGCGGCGAGCGCGCCAGCAGCGTCGGCGGAGTCGCTCGCCCCGCGGGCGCCCTAGTTGCCGGCGCGCGCGCCGAGCTAGCTAGCAAATCTACCGCCTGGGGGGAGCTGCGCCGAGGCAGAGCTGCGCCGGGGTGGAAGCTGCCAGCGGCGGAGGCGGCCGGGGAGATGCAACGCGCGAGTGCCATAGGAGCGAGATCACCAAACACAAGAATTAAGCCTGGTCGCCACAGGGCGCCAGAGGCACGAGGAACGAACCGCCAAGGGAATGCCGGGCCGGGCGAGAAGGCTGAACCACTCCCGCGAGAACCAGCGCCCCAGGGGCCAACGGCGGACCCAGCCAGGGCCGCGCACGCACAGCCAGAGCTGGTCAGAACGCGCGGACCTGACGGCCAGAACACACGAAACCACGAAGCGGACAGAGTGCGCGGCCAGGTGGCGGGCGCCTCCACCACTGTAGATGGGATCGAGCCACAGCGCCAGCGTCGGAGAAGGAACCAGACGCGGCCGAACCGACGGTGTCTGAAGACCAGTGTCCGGAGGAGCGCAAGCACATGCGCCAGAGCTGGTCAAGGCGCGCGAACCGAGGTCGCCACGCAAGGGCCAGTGCTGGGGAGACCACGCCAGGCCACGGCAGGGTCAAGGCAGAGGCCAGAGGGGCCAAACACGGTCGAGCCGACCAGCTCCTGGGGGCCAGGGCCCCGCGCAAACGCACAGGAACGGGAACTGGCCAAGACGCGTGAGTCGTAGACGCCGCGAAAGGGCCAGAGCCGGATACACCGCACCAGGCCTCGGCGGGGCACGGGCGAAGGCCAGGGTGAGAACAACGCAGAAACAGCCGAGGCCGCGAGACACGGCGCGCCCCGCCCCAGCGGAAACATCGCGCCCGGCATTGGCGGCGACCGGGGGCCAGGCCCCCAAGGGCGGGGAGGCCAAGCCAGCGGCCAAACAGGGGCCGAAGCAGTCTAGGGGGCCGAGGCCGAGGGGCCAGGTCAGGCCGTGACGGGGTATAGGCGCCAATCCGAATCAAACACATTGCAGTTGCAGTAGCGGACGTGGCCGATAAGCGCGCTGCACCCGCCCCAGCAGGATCAGCGGGCCCAATATTGACTGACGGCGCCTGGGGGCGTCTCAAGGGCGAGGGGCCCAACGGGGCACCGTG